TTCCCGTTTCTCTTCTTCCTCTCTGTAGGCAGCTCTTCTCTTGTCTGTGGTGCTCTGCCTTTCCTCTGCCCCATCTCTACCTCTGTTTCTAGCTCTGTCTCCTTTGCAATATTCACATATCTCCCTTCCTCCCTCCTTCTCGCCCCCCAGAGGCTCCAGAGGAGACCTAACTGTAAATATTTGAAGATGCGCAGGCTGTGGTTGGAACACAGCAGAGATTAGTCTTCCTCGATGTTTGGTGTTCGTGGAGGCCTAATACCAGGGTCCCAGCTGCTAAGTGTCATGTGCTGGGAAATGACAAGTGAGCCTCCCTGAGAGGATAAGCAAAGACAGCAATTGCTGTCTGTTTTACTATCAATTAAGTCCTGGCTTAGGCGCTGGTGGAGGGAGCCAGCAGCTGGGATGTCAGGGGGAGGCGGGGAGAGAGGGAGGAGTGGGACTCCTGGTTCTCTCACCAGACCCCAGAGCAAGCCCTTTCTTCTAGGCTTCAGTCCCCTCATCTGCAAAGTTGAGGTTATCATCGTTCCTGTTCCACAGGAGCCCGGGAGGTCTCAGCCCTGAGGTTCCTTTCTGGGAAAAGACACCCAACTCAGCGGGAGATGTGGGCTGGGTCTTCCCTGAGCCCTTGCCCAACTCCTGAGATGCCCTCCCTGCCTTACAGTGGGGCCTGGGAAGTGCTTATTCAATGGGTCAATCAGTATGAAATTAGGACAAAGAGGTGCCAGCCTCACAGACCCTGCTCAGCCAAGGACCCGATGGGATATCACAGTCAGTGCACAGTTCATCCTCCCACACAGGTTTCTACCCCCTCCACTCCTTTACGGAACTTCTTCCCAGGTAACATACCCCAAGGTTACCCACACTGTTCACTGTCACACACACACACACACACACACACACACACACACACACACACACACACGGCAGCGCTGTGAGGCGTTTCTGTCACTTTCATTCACTGCTAGGCTCCCAGTGTGCACACAGCCCCTGGCACATCAGACATCCAACAAGTGGTTGCTGAGAGAGAAAACATGGGAGTGAGTGAATGGAGTGGCAAACCACAGAGTTGGGGTGGGGGGCTTAGGTAAACACCAGCGCCCAGGTTCACTTTTGAGGCTTGGATTCTCTTGGGTTCAGTTGAGACCCAACCATGAGGACTTTTTAATCCCCAGATGCTGTTAATGTGAAGCCTGGTTGGGAACCACTGTCTTAATCCTGAGCACCTTCTCATCTGCTGCTGAGCATGTTCAAGATGCTCTCAAAATATAATCAGAGTGGAGTGCAGTGCAGTGCAGTGGAGTGGCGTGGAGTGGAATAGAGTGGGGTGGAATGGAAAGGAGTGCGGTGGAGTGGAGTGGAATGGAATGGAGTGGAGTGGAATGGAATGGAGTGGAATAGAGTGGGGTGGAGTGGAGTGGAATGGAATGGAGTGGAATAGAATGGGGTGGAGTGGAGTGGAATGGAATGGAGTGGAGTGGGTGGAGTGGAATGGAATGTAGTGGAATAGAGTGGGGTGGAGTGGAGTGGAATGAAATGGAATGGGGTGGAGTGGAGTGGAGTAGGGTGGGGTGGAGTGGAGTGGAATGGAGTGGAATGGAAAGGAGTGGGGTGGAGTGGAGTGAAATGGAATGTAGTGGAATGGAGTGGAGTGGAGTGGAATGGAGTGGGGTGGAGTGGAGTGGAGTGGAATGGAGTGGAGTGGGGTGGAATGGAATGGAATGGAGTGGGGTGGAGTGGGGTGGAATGGAGTAGAGTGGAGTGGATGGAGTGGAGTGGAGTGAATAGAGTGGAGTGGAGTGGGGTGGAGTGGGGTGGAGTGGGGCGGAGTGGGGTGGAGTGGAGTGGAGTGGGGTGGAGTGGAGTGGAATGAAGTGGAGTGGAGTGGAGTGGAATGGAGTGAAGTGGATGGAGTGGAGTAGAGTAGAGTGGGGTGGAGTGGAGTGGAGTGGAGTGGGGTGGAATGGAATGGAGTGGAGTGGGGTGGAGTGGAGTGGAATGGAGTGGGGTGGAGTGGAGTGGAGTGGAATGGAGTGGAGTGGAATAGAGTGGAATGGAATGGAGTGGATGGGGTGGAGTGGAGTGGAGTGGAATGGAGTGGGTGAAGTGGAGTGGGGTGGAGTGGGGTGGAGTGGAGTGGAGTGGAATGGAGTGGGTGAAGTGGAGTGGGGTGGAGTGGAGTGGAGTGGAGTGGAATGGAATGGAATGGGATGGGGTGGAGTGGAATGGAGTGGATGGAGTGGAGTGGAGTGGATGGAGTGGAGTAGAGTAGAATGGAATGGAGTGGATGGGGTAGAGTGGAATGGAATGGAATGGAATGGAATGGAATGGAGTGGGGTGGAGTGGAGTGGAATGGAGTGGAGTGGGGTGGAGTGGAGTGGAGTGGAGTGGGGTGGGGTGGAGTGGAGTGGAGTGGAATGGAGTGGAGTAGAGTGGAATGGAATGGAGTGGATGGGGTGGAGTGGAATGGAATGGAATGGAATGGAATGGAGTGGGGTGGAGTGGAGTGGAATGGAGTGGAGTGGGGTGGAGTGGAGTGGAGTGGGGTGGGGTGGAGTGGAGTGGAATGGAGTGAAGTGGATGGAGTGGAGTAGAGTAGAGTGGAGTGGAATGGAGTGGAGTGGAGTGGAATGGAGTGGAACAGAGTGGAGTGGAGTGGATGGAGTGGAGTGGAGTGGAGTGGAATGGAGTGGGTGTAGTGGAGTGGGGTGGAGTGGAGTGGAGTGGAGTGGAATGGAATGGGATGGGATGGAGTGGAATGGAGTGGATGGAGTGGAGTGGAGTGGATGGAGTGGAGTGGAGTGGAATGGAATGGGATGGGGTGGAATAGGATGGGATGATTCCAAACCTTGCTCAATCATCAGCACCTCCTTACCTTGGACCATGGGCACTACCATCCTGCCTCCTCTCCACCCTCCCCTCTCTCTCACTTCACCTCCCATCATTCTCCCTCAATTCTCCTCCTTCCTTTCCCTCAATTATATAAACCTGTTGCATTTACTGGCACCTGCCTAGTCAGCTTTTTCCTCACATAGCAGCTTCCTCATTGAGGTCTCAGCACAATGCCTCCTCCCCCAAGATGCCCTCCCTGACTGTCTTCTGGCAATAGTGTCTCTCCCAGCCACACTCCAACTCATGAGCCTGTTTTATGTTCTTCACAACGCTAATTACTATCTGAATTTCTCTTATGTATTGTTGGTCCACGTTTTTTTTAAAAGGATCTCTTTTTTTTTTTTTTTTTTTTTTTTAAATATATTTTATTGATTTTTTACAGAGAGGAAGGGAGAGAGATAGAGAGCTAGAAACGTCGATGAGAGAGAGAGTCATCGACCAGCTGCCTCTTGCACACCCCCCACCGGGGATGTGCCCGCAACCAAGGTACATGCCCCTGACCGGAATCGAACCTGGGACCTTTCAGTCCCCAAGCCGACGCTCTATCCATTGAGCCAAACCGGTCTCGGCAGTTGGTCCACGTTTTTATTGGCTGTTTCTATACAGGTCAGTAAAGGCAGGGATCTTGTCATCCATTCACACCAAGAACAGTTCCTGACACATAGTAGGTATTTGGTAAACTTTTATTGAATGAGTGATATTCTTTCCCAGTATCTGTCAGTTCCTTGAGTACACATGTTTTATTCTGTTTTTATTCATTTTCTTTCCCCTAGCAGGGGGCCTGGGTCGTTCTCTGTTGTTGGCTGTCCTGGGCACTGTAGGATGTTAGCAGCTCCCTGGCCTCCACCCACTAGATACCAGTAGCTCTCATTCCCAGTTGTAAGAACCAAAACTATATTTAGACAGCGTCAAATGTCTCAGTGTCAAATGTCTCATCCCCAGTTGAGAACCCCTGCCTTGCATTTGTCCCATTCATTGCTGGACACGCTGAAAAATATTTTGAAGGCCTGCCTCTGACGCAGTTCCACCATATGACCAGCAGGTGGCAGAAAAGACCGCCTTTTCATTGGCATGGTTGCCACCACTTTAAAAAAAAAAAAAAATTGTTTTGTTTTGTTTTTTCTTTCTTTCCCCCCAGCCTGGTAACTGATTCGCAGCCGTGCTCACTCACCTAGGTGGGGTTCTGCGAGCATTACCCCCACTTTACACTTCTCCAGACTAGACAGAAAAGCAGCAGCAGCTGCATCCTAACCCAAACGCAGATAGAAAGTGGATGGTGTAGGTCAGTGTTTCCCAAAGTGTGGTACGCGTACCCCCAGGGGTACGGGAAGAGTTTGGTGGGGGTACACGTTGCACCGGAGTTTGGTGGGGATATGCACTTCACCGTGCTTAGCTGCACCTAATTCTACGTTCTCATGAGTACGAGGGGTACTCAGCATTACAAAAATTATAGAAGGGGTACACAGATGTCAAAAGTTTGGGAAACACTGGTGTAGGCCAAGCATGTCAAATTCCAAGGCAGGAGTGGAGAGAAAATCATCTTGGAATCAGGCAGATTTGAATGTCAGCCCAGCTGTATTCCTTTCTCCCCAGTACCCTCAGCCAGTTAGCATGCCTGAGTCCCACACAAAAACCAGGGCCAGACCGAACCTGCTCAGAAAGGCTGTGGTAAAGGACTGAGCACTGTTTCGGAAGGAGGAATATGCCACTAGCTCTGCTGTGCACCTCTGTGCACCTTACCTAACCTCTCTGGTCTTCCATGCCCTTACCAAAGAGGAACTGATCCAAAGGGCAGCAGTGAGGATGAAATGAAGCCGGAGCAGGCTCACAGAGACTACAATCTGTAACGCTCTGTTTATGAAGGGTTTGTTTTTTGTTGTTTTACAGTCCCACACTCCCTCGGCCTCCTCCAGCCCACAGCACACACAGCCGCATGGACACAGCACACACACAGGCACTAAGGACAACAGGCCCTGAGCTCAGTCCACAGTGTCCTGGGGTTAGCCTCTGGCCTCCACTGGTGGTCTCTGTGGAGCAGGAGACCACAGCCCCACAAGATGGGTCCCGGAGGCCCAGACCAGCCTCCCTCCCACCACCCCAGGCCTCCAGACTCAGATGGCCTGGTCCTGCCGCCGTCTCAGGCTGAGCACGCGGGCCGCTGCCAGGAAGGATGCCCCGGTGAGCAGCTCGGCGAAGAAACTGACCCAGCCCAGGGCCAGGGACCAGCCGAAGCGGATGTCCACCTGGTCCAGCAGGGCCGTCTCCTCCAGCAGACACAGCGCCTCCCGGAAGGCGGCAGCCGAATACGCGATGTACATGCTGATGCCGGTGAGCGTGACGAGAGCTGCGGGGACAGAGGAGAGCAGATCTAACCCCGCCGTCCTCCCCAGCCGGCCACCCTGCCCTCCCCAAGCGCATCCTCCTTCCACCCCAAGGCCTTTGCCCAGGCCGGTCCACCTGCCCCAGGCACCCTTCCTTCCTTTCCCTTCTTCATGCCATCCCTTAACGCCTCTCCATCTCCATATCCCAGCTCACGTGTCTGCTCTGGTCAAAACCCCCTGAAGCCTCACAGCCTCCACATAGCCCTCCGTCATAGCCCAGGTCAGAACTATAATTTTGCATTTATTTGTTTTGGGGTTTTTGTTTTGTTTTGTTTTCCATTCATCAGTTTATATTGTTACTTAGATTCCACTTATGAGTGTGATCATGTGATACTTGTCTTTCTCTGACTGACTTATTTCACTTAGCAGGATACTCTCCAGGTCCCTCCATGCTGTCTCAAAGGGTAAGAGATTCTTTTTTACAGCTGCATAGTATTCCATGTGCATAACTGTACCACTGCTTTTTTATCCACTCATCTACGGATGGGCACTTGGGCTGTTTCCAGATCTTAGCTATTGTCAATTGCGCTGCTATGAACATAGGGGTGCATCCATTCTTTCTGATTGGTGCTCCGGGTTCCTTAGGATATATTCCCAGGAGTGGGATCACTGGGTCACATGGCAGGTCCATATTTAATTTTCTGAGGAAACTCCATACTGTTCTCCACGGTGGCTGCACCAGTCTGCACTCCCACCAGCAGTGCATGAGTGTTCCCTTTTCTCCTCATCCTTGCCAGCTCTGGTCATTTGTGGACTCATTGATGGTAGCCATTCTGAGAGGTGCATTTATTTATGAAATAACTAATGTCTGTCTGCCCAATGGGCTGAGTTCCAGAGGCTCCTCCTGGATTCCCCGGCACCCAGAACAGCGTGTGGCACATGGTGGGGCTGCAAAGAAGTAATTAGTGCCATGCTGCCCAGTCCTGGAGCCCCGGCCACATGTGGCAGTGCAAACTTTATTGCAATGGGCAGCTCAGCCCTTCATTGGCACCTGCCACGTGGCAGGTGCTCCGTAGCCTGGTCTGTGGCTCCCGCCCTACACAGCGCAGGGTAGAGAATTTTGCCATCACAGGAAGTTCCACAGGGAGCACTGGGTTCGAGACGTGGTCATGGGTGGACTATTAGTGCCGATATTAACAATCACAGTGGGTGGTGGAGAGGCTCTCTGCTCTATCTCCACCTCCGCCCATTCCTTTCACTGTTTCCCTCCGGGGACAAACATGTGTGTCATCACTGTGTTGGTTGTGTTTTTAAGGAGGAGGAGGGGGCCTGGGAACAACCAGCCACGCGCTGCAGCCCCTCTTTGGAAGCCTTGGTGTGCAAGCCGTCAGAGTGGTATCTGTGGAGCAGCAGGTGCACAGAAGAGCAGGCAACAGGGCTGGTCCCTGACAGCCCACCGTCTGCGGTGGCCGCTTCCCCTGTGGCTCCTTTGGTAAATCTCGGGAGCAATTCTCAAATCCTGCCCCTCCCCTCTGCCTCCCTCCTGGGCCTCAGACCCAGGGCCCTGGGCTGGACAAGCCTCATTCTTCCATTTGGGAGGTCACCAATGGGGAAGCTGAGCACCAGAGGCTCCCCTCCCCTACTGGGGGCTCCTCACAGCCCCTTCAGCAGCCTGAACCCCAGGTCGAGTGGGCACCTACCTCCAAAGAGGAAGAGGGTCCCCGTGAGCAGCAGGAGGAGGGAGGTTCGGAGGAGGAAGCTCAGAAACCCCGTCATCCCCCCAAAGACCATGAGGATGAGGCTGAAGGGGAGCAGAATCACAAAGGTCCCGTGCATGGCTGCGGAGAGAGGGGGACAGGCGAGGATTACCAACACTATGCAGCCGGTCAAGCATTTCCTGAGCACCTCCTGGTTTTAATTAACATGTCCATTATTATTACTACTAATAATAACAACAATAGTTACCGAGGCTCGTCTGTGCAAGGTTTGTGTCGAACCCTTATTCTGGGCCCCTGCGAGGTAAGTGTTGTTACAGTTCACTGGCTCATTGGCACAGTGACTAAGTGCATTCTGTGTGCTGGGCACCTTGGCCCTGCCGGCTCAGGAGCAAACATGCCAAGCCTTTGCCCCTCATGAGGCTGATATTTAGGGAGTGGAGTCCAGCAGTGAACAAAGACACAAGTGACTGAGTTGAGAGGTGGTGACAAATGCTCGGGAGGGGAGTGAACAAAGGAGAGGGTGGTTCAGGCAGTGGTTCCTCTGAGGAAGTGACCTCCCAGTCAAGACCTGAAAGAGGTGAGTGAGGCTGGTGCTGGGTGAAGGGCAGGGGTCACAGGTCAAGATGGGAGTGTGCCCGGTGAGGTGGAATCCCCTGGGGGAAGCGGGTGAGGGTGGCAGGGAATTTTGGAACAGAGAGGTACACACATTACAAAGCATGATCAGAACTCGCATTACAAAATCAGAAAGTGAAGTATGGTAGCAACCATACTTAGGTAAAAACAGCTGTTTGAATTTTAACCCTGCTATTCTGGCTTCGGCACTCGCTTACTTGCTTAAATAATAGGGTAGTTACCTCAGCTTCCAGATTGAGACCTGGAAACTCACAAAGGTAACTTTCCTGTGCCTGTGGACCAGGACCACAGGAGATTGATTCCCACTGACTCAGTAGCTCCGGGAGTTGAAACTGCAGGTAACCTTTAGAGATTAGCTTGGCTCAGTTCTGCTTCTGTACTATCTGCTATCACAAGATAGGGCCACATTCCAATGTCGAGCAGAATGTGGCTGGGAACAGCCTGCAGGGTTGTTCCCAGCCTTTAGAATTTAGAATTTAAAGTTTAAAACAAAGAAAAATCTTTGTAGTTTAGACCTTTAATAGGACTGCCTATACCTGGGATGGCATGGTCATGAGTGTGGACTCCACGTGCTCTCATGGCCTTCCTGGCCAGTCCAATAAATCCTTGCCTGTTTTTTTTAATCAATTAGCAGCCTCCAGTGGTCTTATTTTGACTCCAGGGTTCGATCCCACAACAGAAAGTAGAAGAGAATGAATTACGTGGAAGCCAAGACCCATGGTGATGGGGGTGGGGTGGGGAGAGGGCTGGAGGGCCTCTGGGTTTTCAAGATCTCCACTTTGGCTCTGAGCTTCCTGGCAGCCAAAGCAGAAAGGAAACAATTGCAAAGTTCTTGTTCACCAGGCATTCATTTACCAAATAGGTCTTGGTCATTTGCCGGGAGCTGGGAACCGATCTCTTTAAATCTTTTTGGCAGCCAGCTAGGCGTGACCACAAACCCTGTCCTCTCCCCTCGGGCCAGGGAGCAGCAGTCCTTCCGGAAGCCAGTCCCTGCACCACACCTGCCACACCCCTCTCTGGGCCCTCAGCTCCCCCTCTCAGTCCTGGCTTTTGCTCCCTGGTGTTGAGGCATCTTAGTTACTTTTCTGTCTCGCCTGCTGAGCTGTGAGTTCCTGGATGAGCCAGATCATGTATCCTTCTGTGCAATGGTGCCCCTGCGTTTCTAGTCGGGCTCTTAAGATAAGGTGAGTGTTCAATAGGCATTTGTAGATGTAATTACTTAAGAGCTAAAACAATACAACTATGGCAGTGTGTGTGGTTTTGTACAGTGTGCTTAGGATGTACCTGTGCCTCTGGTGTGCGTGTGTGTGTGTGTGTGTGTGTGTGTGTGTGTGTGTTAGAGGGGGAGAAAGATAGAGATGAAGAAGAGAGTGACAGAGACTAAAGAGGAAAAATAAATCTTTAAGTATTGGAGGGTTTTTTAATGTTGCCTCCTTTATTTGCACCCATGCTTCACCACACCCAATTCCGTCAAGAAGAAGTAAATAGAAAAGCAGCTGGTCATGCATCGTGTGCTGGGACGTGACTGTGCTGAGACAAACTGGGCGTTTTTCATTGACATCGCTAACCATCCCGCTGTTTCCTCCTTTCCGGCATGAAGGAGGCCACACAAATCCGCCCTCGGATTGGGCAGGTCATATGTTCCTGGCCCGTATGGAGCTAGAGGAAGGGCCAGTATAGAGCGAGAGGAAAGGCCAGTATAGAGCGAGAGGAAAGGCCGGGCAAGGTGAGAGAGCAAAGGCCCTTGGGCACCTGTCTGCCCTCCCTGCTGGGTTCCTAGGAGGCCTGTGGCTGGGAGGCGGTTTCTAAGAAACCAAGGAAGCTTGTGAGATGGCCTCACTGTGTCTAAATGCATGGCTTTCAGGGCCAGGAGGTCAGGGTTTGAGGTCAGGCTATGACCTGGGCCTTGGCCTGTCACTAATCCCTCAGAGACCTGTCTCGTCAGGGGTGAGATGGAGGTGATGCTACATGGCAGTGGGGACGCATAAGGCATTCAGTCCGCATCCCATAGAGTAAGTCCTCACTAAACCCTCAGCCTGCAGTGATAAGGATGGTGAACAACTCAGTGTGACCTCCACTGTGACCACATCACCTTGTCTTCACTCGCTAAATGCTGCCACCCTTGGTGAGGCAGGAAAAGGAGACTGATCTCTATGCACCCGCCCCTCTCCCTCCTTTCCCCACTCTTACCCTCCTTCCTTCCCCCACTCCCCCACCCCAGGCTGACAAGGGAGAAAATGTGATTGGGGGAGGAGACCTGTGGCCTCTTCCCTGTGTCCCTCACTCCTTTCTCCCTTTCTTAAGGAAAATCGAGGGCAAGAAGCACAGCAGCTGGTGTGAAACCTGGTCCTGCTGCCCGGCACCGGCCGGCCGTGCCTCCAGACGCCTGGTGAGAAATAAAATCATTTCTCATTTAGAAATTAATGAGGTTTCCCAGAGCCGCCTCCTCTGCACCCGCGCGCAGGGTCCCCAGATGCTCCGCCAGCTGACTTGATGTACGCATTCAATTAAAAGCCTGGGAAGAACAGCCCCCTCCCCCTTCCACCGGAGAGTTGCAAGAGCCCCTGCTGAAATTTAGTTTAGTGTCTTTTTTTTTTCATGGGCCTCGTCTTCGTTATTTCTGAATTTTTCCTGCAGTCTCGGAGCAGGAATGCTGTCCTCTCTGCATACCTGCCCCTCGCCAGCCACGTGGCTTTCAGTAACTAATGCTTCGGGCTCTGAGAAGGGGTGAGCTCTGCGAGGAAATGGGAGGCAATCACAGACCTGGACGTGTCCAGAGGAAATAGGGATGATGATGAATGGGGGGGAGGAGGCAGTGAGGGAGGCACCTCTTTAGATACAGGGGTCCTATTTGTTTGGCATTACTTTCCTTGGGCTGCTGGGACAAATCACTACCATCCAAGCATCTTAAACACAGCAGGGCTTTCTTCCCTCTTGCTCTGGTGGCCTCACGTGCAAAATCGGGGTGTCAGCCCAGCCACAGTCCCTCAGAAGCTCCAGGGGAGAACCCTTCCCCGCTTCTCCAGCTCCCAGCGGTGGCTGACCACCTCTGACAGTCCTTGGCTTGGGGTAGCCTCATGCCAACATCTACCTCCATCTCCATTCGGTCTTTTTTGCTCTCCTCCGATTATCCTTTTCCTATCAGGGCACTTGGTGTAGGTCTGAGAGCCCACCGATTCAACTCAGGATGATCTCTTCTCAAGATGCATCACTTAATTGCATCTGCAAAGGCATTGTTTTCCAAATAATGTCCCATCCCCAGGTATGAGGACCTGACTTGGGGGGTGACACCTTCCAATCCCTTATAGTTTACAGTGGGGACGCAGCAGGTGACAGCTGAGGTCATTCTGTAAAATGAATAATAAATGTTGGCAGGCCATGCCTTCATCAAGGGCAAATGTGCCCCCAGGGAAAGAATCTTTTTGACTCAAAAAGGCTTTGTTGCTAGACAACCACCTGAGTGAGAGAAGATATTTGCAAATGATACATCTGATAAAAGGTTAATATCCAAATTACCCTGTTTCCCCGAAAATAAGACAGTGTCTTATATTAATTTTGCTCCCGAAGATGTGCTAGATCTTATTTTCAGGGGCTGTCTTATTTTTCCATGAAGAAGAATATGATACACATTTATTGTTAAATGAAAATAAAGGAAATTTATTACCTGTAGATGGTACAGTAGTATGGTAGTTGTCAACACAAACCAGACAAACTGTGAATCCTATAGTATCAAGAATTTACTCATTTATTCAATGACAATCATGTCATCATCTTCTGGAACATCATCATAACAATCCAATTCCTGAATTTCCTGGTGAATTTCTTGTGACTCCATTTCTTTCAGAATCAGTGGACCAAATCTCTCATGTTTAGCCTAGGAGGGCCTTATTTTCGGGGGATGCCTTATATTTCACTCAGAAGAAAACCTGTAAGTAGGTCTTATTTTCGGAAGATGTCTTGTTTTCAGAGAAACACGGTATATAAAGAGTGCATACAACTTAACACCAAAAAATAATCCAGTTTTATTTTTTAATGGACCAAGTGCCTGAATAGACACTTCTCCAAGGAGGACATTCAGCTGGCCAACAGAAACATGAATAATGCCCAATATCACTAATAATCAGGAAAAATGCACATTCAAACCATAATGAGACCTCACCTCACACCTGTCAGAATGGCTATCATCAACAAACAACAAGTGTTGGTTAAGATGTGGAGAATAGGGAACTTTCACATTGGGGAGGTTGTAAATTGGCGCAGCGACTGTGGAAAGCAGTGTGCAAGTTCCTTTAAAAAATTAAAAATATAGCCAAAACCGGTTTGGCTCAGTGGATAGAGCATCTGCCTCCGGACTGAAAGGTCTTGAGTTCGATTCCGGTCAAGGGCATGTACCTTGGTTGGGGGCACATCCCCAGTGGGGGGTATGCAAGAGGCAACTGATTGATGTTTCTCTCTCATCGATGTTTCTGACTCTCTATTCCTCTCCCTTCGTCTCTGTAAAAAAATCAATAAAATATATTTTTTTTAATTAAAAATATAACTACCATATGACCCAGCAATTCCACTTCTGGGTATTTATCCAAAGAAATATAAAATATTAGCTCGGAAAAAGTATATGAACTCCCATGTTTATTGCAGAATTATTAGTTATAACCAAGACATAAAAGCAACCTAAGTGTCCACTGATAGACCAATAGATAAAGAAGAGATGATGCATATACACAATGGAAATGACTCAGCCATAAAAAAAGAATGAAATCTTGCCTTCTGAAAAGGCATGGATGGACCCAGAGGGTATTAGATGAGTGAACCAAATCAGCCAGAGACAGACAAATAACAAATGATTTCACATATATGTGGAATGCAAAAATAAATAATCAAACCAAAAAAAAAGTGCTTTGTTACAAGGAAAAATAAAGCAACCCCAGAAAGAAGCTAAGGAAAGCTGTGCTTGTGACTGCTCCATGCTCACACTGTTCAAAGAACTGCTGGGTGGGAAATTGGGGCTTGCGAGATCAGGGAGCCCCAGATGGTTGGCTAAGTCACAGATCTACTCTTAAAGACAGCAGGCACATGCCTTTCCTCAAGAAACATCAGAGTGAGGTGCACCTAAGAGCCAATTCCAGTTGTGTCTGGAACATGCTCAGCTCTGTCCTGCCTCACACCCCTGCGCCAGCTACTCCTCCTCGTCTCTGGATGCCTGTCTGGAGGAGGCAGAGTGCACAGTAGGGCTCCAAACCCAAGAAAGGCCAGGAGCTCCTCCTCTGGACTGACATAGCCTCCGGTCTTAGTCCACTCATGTGATACTGAAATTATACCTGGTGTGCCATCACTCTAAAAGGGTAGAAACTGCCTGGGTTCAAATCCCAAGTCTTCCAGTTACTGTGCAACCTTTGGTAATTTACCTAACTTCTCTGTGCTTTGCTTTCCTAGTTTGAAATGTGAAGATAAGAACAATGGTATCTGCCTTTTGGGATTGCGGTGAAAGCTCCATTTTACAGAAGAAAAGCCTGAGGCTAAGGGAAGCAATATGACTGAGAGGAGGGGGAGATGTTAATTGTGCTCCTGCTGTGAGCAGTGTCCTCTAAATTGGATGCTTTGCTTCTGTAACCTCATTTCATCCCAAAGCAGCCTATTTAAGGAAGCAGGTGACTAGCCAGAAGTCACACAGCTGATAAGAGGTGGGCCTTTATCTATGATAGGGCTGACCCCATCCCTCCAGACAAGTAGCAGGTAACTCAGGGCCAGTTAGCACAACCCATCCCCTCCACCATAGTGATTGGCTCAGGCCTGGGCATGTGATCTTGTCTAGTCCAATGAGAAGCCTACCTGAAGGTTTTTGCAGAATTATTTAAGAAAGTCTTCCGCTTGGGTTGCTAAGACTGGAGAGGGTTTGAAAACAGAACCCAAACAGAAGCAAAACCCAGATTGGAAAAGAAAGAAACTGAGTTTAGTTCTCTGGGTGTCAGAAGGCTGGAGCTTTCCAGTTTTTTGGACCAGGAAGCAAGTTTAAACAAGTACGAGTTGAGTTTCTGTCTTCTTGCCATCAAAAGACTCCTGGCTGATACAACAAGACTGTGGCTCTTTTACCTCCACTGTGCTAAATTGGATGACTTCTCTTCACCAAAAATTATTCCAGGCCCTGCCTGCTTGGGGACAAATCCAGGCTTCTTCCCATGCTCCCCCACTAGAGCTTGGCCAGGAAGCTGACCCAGAAAACATGCTACCTTGACAACTGGCCCCTCTCCTTCATGGCCTCTCAGAGGGTCCTTAAAGAACTAGAATATCTTCACATAACCAAAGATCTTGGACAAGATTCAAAATCAGTTCTGGGGATAAAAAGATTCTGGGAAAAGCTCTCTCCAGGGGTGATCTGCAGCAAGCACACAGCCTGAAGGGGCACCCTGCTCTCTTCCATGGGTGACACAATGGTAATAATAGCAGCTACCACTTAAGGGGCACTTACAGGGCCAAGCAGTGCCTACGGCTCTTTAAAAACACTCTCCCATCTCATCCCTGCATATCCTTATGAAAAGAGATGGCAGGGATGCTCATTTTCCCCGGGGAGAGGTATAGAAGCTCAACCAGGCCACATACCTCATTGGCAGTGAGACTGGGGGTTAGACCTAGGTCAGAGGGAGAACAGAACAGACTCTGGGTTTGAGTTTTGCCTGTTTCTTAAAGTCCTGGAGCACACAGGGGTGTTCCATTATTAAGTTTCACAAAAAAAAAAAAAAAGCCAGACCAGTGCCACCCAATTTACCCATAGATGTGATAAGTAAGTAGGCAGAATGCCAGCACCCAGGTAAGTGAAGGATCAGCACTCCATAGATGAAGCCACTCATCAAGAGGCTGGAGGAATGGTCAAGAGGCCTTGCCTTTATTGAGCACTTATTGTGTGCCTAGCACTTTTATATGATATCATTCTTTCACGCAGCATAACATCCCACAGTAACCAGGCCCTATGTGAGGTGCAAGGTAAAGTTATATTTTTGTTTCTCCCAGCTAGTTTGTGGGAGCCTGACTAGACCCCCAAATGGTTTGGACATCTCATTTTGATAGATGTGGAAACAGAAGCTCAGAGAGAGGTTAAGACACCTATCTCCGGTTCACAGAGGGTCCTGGTAAGGGCCTGAGTTAGGATTTGAGCCCCATCTCCCTTACTTCAAGGGCAGGAACTCTTGATTATTCTTTAAACAATGCTCCAGGAACACCCAAAAGTTCCCCCTGGTCCAGCTTGGGGCTGAGGACAGAGTCCTTGGTACCTCCATCGTTTGCCAACCTCTCACATATTCCCTGGAGGATGTCTCCTTCAGTGCAGTAGTGTGCTGGAACTGAGTCATATCAGCTCACAAGAATCAACTATTACAGTTTAGGGATGAGCCAGTCAACATGATGTTGATAGTTTGAAATTGACCACACTGGAAATATTTACACCACAGAAATTGGCAAATGCTATAAATCAAGACTCTCCTCTCCCCGAGAGGCAGTTATTCAATATTTCCTAGCAAGCCACTGGACTACAGAGAAACAGTTCTGGTTCATTCATTTACTCATTCATTCAACAAATATATACTGAGTTCCACCTCTAACATATAGTCTGCATTCACTCTCAGAAAACCTTGTTTCATGGCCTACTCTATGCCAACCTCTGTGCTAAATATTGGGGATTCAGCAGTGGCAAGACAGGCATGGTCCCCACCTTCATGGAGCTTACAGTCTAATAGGGCATCAGATTGTAACCCCCAAAAGGTTACACAACCTGTATTAGGAGTAGAAGCTTGACCAAGTCAAGCTGGCAAGTAGGAACAGACAGAGACTCCCAGTAGAGGGTATGGCATATGCCAAGTCCCCGTGGCCGGAGGAAACTTGGCATATTCTCGGAACTGGCCCAAGGCCAGCATAGTCCATAGTTAGGAAGAAAAGAGCGAAGAGTAGTATGGAATTGGAAAGGGACTCTGGCAGCCCTGGAGGTCATGTGAGAGACAAGCCTTAGTAAGTCTATCAGAAACGGCCCACATTTTGCAAGGTCTATGGAACTCAGTCCTTATGGCCTCATCAGATTCTTTCTCCGGCACCTCTGTGGGCCTCAGTTTCCTTGCTGGAAAAAATGAAGATGGAAATGGAGGCGGTGGGATTAAATGACGACACAGATGGAAAGCATTGGCTACATGTCTGGCCCGCTACAAGCTTCGGTGAAATGAACTATTACACTCATCTCCCTCCCTCCACAAGTGTTCTTTCGGCCCCTGTTTGCTTTCTTGCATTCCATCCTTCCACCTTCGCTGTATTCCAGGCACTCTGGGGGCCACTGATAAGAGTTGGGCCTTTATCTATGATAGGGGTGGCCGTGTCCTTTGTTATAAGTACCAGGTCGCTTAGTTATGTGGGAAATCAGCCTTGACCAAGACAGACACCGTGGCCCCTTGAAGGGAGAGGGTTGCTTTCTGCCTCCGAATTGCCTTCCCTGAATCGTTCAGCAAATATTTATTCCATCTGGCTACAGCCAAGCAACTCCTCCTCAACTCCTCACCTCCCTCCCTCGCTTCTGTATCTTCAACAGTGAGGACACAAATAAGGCTGGCATGGGGCGTGTGCCTAGTGGTCTACAGGCTAAGGCCTGCTCTCTTTTCTCCGTGGATCACCCACCCTCCTTCATGCTGCAGTCACTCTACAATGCAATTGCGGCCGAAACCAGTTTGGCTCAGTGGATAGAGCATCAGCCTTCAAACTGAAGGGTCCCGGGTTCAATTCCGATCAAGGGCATGTACCTTGGTTTCGGGCACATCCCCAGTGGGGGTGTGTGCAGGAGGCAGCTGATTGATGTTTCTCTCTCATCGATATTTCTAACTCTCTATCCTTCCTTTCTCTCTATAAAAAAAATCAATAAAATATCTTTTAAAATAAAATAAAATAAAATAAAATAAAATAAAATAAAATAAAATAAAATAAAATGCAACTGCGAATTCCCACATCTGTCTCCCCAGCAGGTCTGCGCGCTCCTGGAGGGCAGGCAGGCCTGGGTCTCCCGCCTCAGCACCCTGTCCGGAGCTTAGAAAGCCTGTAGGCAACGTTTGTGGAAAGAATCCTAGACCGCACAGGTGGAGCCAGAGAGCCCTACTTACTCCCTCCTCCCGCCCCTCCGCCGGCCAGTGGGAGACGGGCTCCCAAACTGGTGGCCAGCCCCGGGCTCTTCCTCCAAACCCCCTTCCCGGACTCACCGAGAAGTTGCCGACTGGAGTCGCTGACCGTCACGTTCTCCTGCCAGAAGGGGTTCATCAGCGGCGCGCAAGGGCTCTGGACTGGAGGGGGCAGAGTCAGCAGTGGCCCGACGCCCTGGAGTTAGGGCCCCGGCCCGCAGGTGCCCCCAAGCCCGCCCCCCACCCCCACCCCCACCCCCACCCCCGCCCTCAGATGCCCCACCGGGAGCGCGTGTGCAGAGTAGGTCCCAGAGGGAAGCTCCCTGCCGCCCGCCCGCCCCGGGACAGACGGCTCAGCGGAGGGGTGCGCGCGCGCCCAGCAACAGGTCCCGGCGCCTTACCACGGCAGGTCCGCCAGAGGCCGGAGTGCGAGCTCAGGGGCTCCGGCTGGCTGCGGTTGGCGCCCCCCGCGCCGCCCCGCACCCCCAGGGCGCCGCGCTCCAGCCGCCGGGTGTCGATGATGTACCAGAAGTCCGTGCTGATGGCCGCCGCCAGCAGCGCGAAGCTCAGCGCCCCGGCCAGCGCCGCCACCCCCGCCAGCGCCGCCAGGGGCACCCGCATGGCCCAGCTCCGGGTCCGCTGCCCGCGCCGCCCAACTGGGGTCTGGAACCCCAGCCCTGGACCCTGAGCTTTCCTCCAGTCCCTGGCTCCACCCCTCAGAGTGGCCACTGCTCGCTCAGACCACACGCCCACCCAGCCCAAGCGCACCCTCTCACCCCTCTCCTCGCTTCTTCTTCCCCACCCTTCTCTCTCCAGCCCCCCACCTCACTCTCCGAAAACCCCAAGGCGTTGCCCACTCTGCCCTGCCCTCCCTTTCCACCCCAGCCTTCCTGACTCTCCCTGCACCTCCTCCTCAAAGCCCCCTCCTCTCCCTCCCTGGCCCGCCCTTCTACAGCTCCTGCTCCCGCCCCACGGTGCACTTCCTCCTTCTCTGCATGGGGTGTCTGGCACTGTAGGGGAAAGAAGGTGGCTTTCTACAAACTGGAGGAGTAAGAAGAAGGAGCGCTGTGGGCCTCACAGCCCCCAGGCTTAAGGATAATCTTCAGTAACCTCTCTCCGTTCAGCCTACCTTCAGTTGGTTTTTCTAGGCTGGCTACAGGAGAAAAAGGCAGATCCTTTGTTCCCCTTAAAGTTCGTTAAAGCAATGGTCTAGCCCAGTGGTCGGCAAACTCATTAGTCGACAGACCCAAATGTCAACAGTACAACAATTGAAATTTCTTTTGAGAGCCGAAAACCGACTTCTGCGCATGGGCCACGAAGTTTCAATAGCATTGTATGTGCACACCTGCATGTGGTATTTTGTGGAAGAGCCACACTCAAGGGTCCAAAGAGCTGCATGTGGCTCATTAGTCTCAGTTTGCTGACCACTGATCTAGGCCAGGTCCTTCCAATCTGTTGTTTCTCCCACCAACGTCTTTATTCATCACTAGAGGCCCAGTGCACAAACTTTGTGCACAGGGTGGGAGGGGGTGTCCTCAGCCTGACCTGCACCCTCTCCAATCGGGGAGTCCTCAGGGGATGTCTAATTGTGGGATTGGGCCTAAACTGTCAGTTGACATCCCTCTCACAATCTGGGACCTCTGGCTCCTAACTGCTCACCTGCCTGCCTGCCTGTCTGGTCACCCCTAACTGCCCTCCCCTGCCAGCTTGGTTGCCCCTATTAAGGTTTTTTGTTTTTGTTTTTGTTTTTGTTTTGTTTTTTTGTAATCTTATCCCCTTCACACACAATTGTATTTTTCTTTCTTATTGGCTTCTCCCTCTAACACAATTTTTCTTTCTCCTTTATGTAACACTTTTTCCTACTGACTCATCATTTATAAACTTTTCTTTCCTCCTTATTTCCTACGTCTGTTCCATCATCCTTCTTCTCATCTTTCTCCTCCTCTCTCTTCCTCCCCACATTCCTTCTTTCCTTTATCTTTATCCTGCCCTCCCTCCCCTTTTCCTTCCTTCCCACCTTAAGTTTTTTTCTTCACTTCCTCCTTCAAACCTGCTTTGCTCCCGCTCCATTTCTTCCTTCTTCCCATTCTTCTTTTAAGCTCTACCAGCTCCCCTTTAAAACTTTTCTTCCCTCCCTCTTTATCTCTCATTCTGCCTTTCCCATGCATTCTTCTCTACTTACTTCCACTGTTTTAATTTCTATCTACCTGCCTAATTATTCACTATCATTTTTTTTCTTTTCTGACTCCTACTTTTAAAATCTGTGCCCAGTACACAACTATACTTGATTGTCATTACAGCTCCTACAGTTCACTCACACATCCTCTTTCCTTCTTTAACTCTGCTCTCTACTGACTCCTTTATGAAGTTCTTCCCTCCCTCCCTCCCTTTTTAAATCTTCTATTCAGGGCCAGCACCTCCACCCAGAAGGCCTCGAACCGTCCATCACTCCGTCCTGGATCTGTGGATGCCTCCTCACCAATGGCCAGTGCCAGGGGTCACCACCCTCCTCCCGTGTCTGCTCCTTCCACCCCCATAGGTCTCCCCCCATTGGTTGCCACCCCCTCCCGTTTGATTCTTGGTCAGGGTATATGCTCAGTGGGGACATGTAGAAGGCAGCCAATCAATTATTCTCTTTCCTCACTGATGTTTCTCTCTCTCTCTCTCTCTCTCTCTCTCTCTCTCCCTCTCCCTCTCCCTCTCCCTCTCTGAATTCAATAAAAACATACTTAAACTATTTTTAAAGTGCAGAGTGGGGAGTGCATTTGAATAATATAAAGAGGAAATATTTTTAAAGTAAGAGGAGGGCAGGGCAGAAGGGAGGGAAAATGTCAAGATATCAAGAAGAAATGTTACCTTTCCATGTGAAGCATCAGTATCATGAAAAAAACAATATTTTTTAAATCAATGAGAACTGGATTTGTGCAATTCTGCACCCTGAAGCCCTGCTTGCCTCATCAGCCTCACATACCCAGACCTTGAATGGGCGGAGTTCTTTCCTGCCTCTGGGCCCTCACACATGCTGTTCTTATTACCTGGAACACTCTTACCCCAACGTGTGTGTATGGTGTGTGTGTGTGTGTGTGTGTGTGTGTGTGTGTGTGTGTGTGTTAGTGATAGTGGTGCTTTATTATGGGTTTGTGGTTTTTTTTTTGTCTCAACTTTTAAGCTACTTATTTGGAAGGGTTTAGCTAACACCCCAACTTAGGTTAAAGGCACTTATAAATATGCTGATTCAGGTGTGGTTAAAGCCTCACCTAACCTCTCAGGCACTCAACTTTTCAGCTCATGCCTCAGCATCCTTTCACACAGGCCTGTGATCCTCCACATATAGACTTTTCTCCCCAAGGAGAAGGCTGGAGTTATTGGACAAGGTGCCCAGGAACAGCTGAGGAGGAGTGGATTTGGAGGACACAGAGCCCCTGCTAACTCACCCCTTAGAAAAGGGGAAAGCTCTGTGGTGTGCTGCCTCTGTCTCACAGAGTCCCCAGTGGGCCTGAGCTGCAGCTATCCACCCCAGTGATGCACTCAGTGGCACATGTCATATGGGTTTCCTTCCCTTGTCCAGCTCAAGCCCCCATTCCTGTACCACTGTTTCTAGGCTTACCCCCAAATAAAACTGCTTTTCTTCAAATCCTTATCTCAGGGTCTACTTCAAAAGAAACCCAACCAGCCGAAGCAGGTTTGGCTCAGTGGTAGAGCGTCAGTCTGCGGACTGAAAGGTCCCAGGTTCGATTCCGGTCAAGGGCATGTACATTGGTTGCCGGCATATCCCCGTTGGGGGCTGTGCAAGAGGCAGCTGGTCCATGTTTCTCTCTCATTGGCGTTTCTAGCTCTCTATCTCTCTCCCTTCCTCTCTGTAAAAAATCAATAAAATATATTTTTTAAAATAAATAAATAAATAAATAATAAAAAGCTTCTGCATAGCAAAAGAACACATCAACAAAATGAAAAGAAAAATCCACTGAAAAAAAAAGAAAGAAAGAACCCAACCAAAGACATATGCGGTCTTAGCACTGAGAGTCTCCATAGTAGTGAATGATTATTTAATGATGAAGCTATTTGCCCCTGTGGACATTCAGGCAGTATGGGAGACACTATATGGTGGCTCATTCAACACCATTTTGAGGCACCTCCCCCTTCCATTTCCAGATGCCTTCCAGCCAGTGGTGACCAGAGGACACACTTCTGACCAATGAGGTAGTAAGCAGAGCCGGTTGGGAAGGGCTCTTCCAAGAAAAAAGGACAAGGCCTTGGGAGAAGAAGGCTTTGGGTCCTCTGGGAATATAGGTGTGACATCTGGAGGTACAGCAGCCATATTGCAGCCATGAGAATAACTCTCCTTGTGATACCTTCCAGAAAGACAGAGTCTGAGCCTGACAGCATCGTTGAATAGCTGGCCCGTCTTTGAAATGCCTGCCTCTGGAATTCTCGCGAGGAGATAAAAATGAACCCCTATCTGTTTAAGCCCCCACCTTTGGCTGCCTGTGCTGCAGCTGAATGCTCTGTGAACTGATGCAGACAGGGATAGTGTAGGTCCTCTCCACTGTATATCATTGGCGTCTAGGTTTGTGCGGGTTATATTTTTTAAGTAAATTATTAATTGTAGCAGTAGATGTGCAATGAAGATTTGTTGATTTAATAAATACATCCTGCCCCCAAAGCCTCTTTTTTCCAAGCACCGAGCTTATTTTGAGTGGCAGACCCATAAGGAAGCAGCTCTGGGCTTCAGACATATAGCCAGGATATCTGTGCAGTTATTAAGATTGCTGCTCTAGAGAGAGAGATGGTCTCTGTTTATTCAATCTTATGAGGTCATGGTGTTCTACAGGCCAATTGGATCCTGCAGACCTGACCCGTGCAGAGCCATGTGAGGTCAAAGTCTCCATCTGTACATTAGAGACCTCCAGAGGAGCAGGCTGTCACTCCCCATACCCTGCACGGCATAATTATCTTGGAATGAAAAAAGGACCGATTAACCCACCGCTTTCATTTTCCCGTTAAACGCCTCGCACGATGCCACGAGACGAAGGCTGGGCTGCTCTCACTCTATTTCAGGGAATCTCTTCTGAAGGTGAAATAAAAATCCCCCAGCCAGCCCGAACCGGTTTGGCTCAGTGGATAGAGCAAAGGCCTGCGGACTGAAAAGTCCCAGGTTCCATTCCGGTCAAGGGCACGTACCTTAGTTGCGGGCACCTCCCCAGTGGGAGGTGTGCAGGAGGCAGCTGATTGATGTTTCTCTCTCATCCCTATGTTTCTAGCTCTCTATCTCTCTCCCTTTCTCTCTGTAAAATTATCAATAAAATATAAAATAAAATAAAAAATCCCCCGGCCAGGGAGAAGCTGCTTTTAGGAGCAATGTGGAGGGAAAGAGCGAGGACCAGAGCCAGCACACCTGGGTTCCAGCAGCACCAGCCTGCTGAAAGAGCTGGGCCTGCCTGCTTTGCCTCCGGAGCCTCAGTCTGCTGGTCTATAAAAGGGGCGAGTAAAAGTCCTCTCCTAAGGATCTATCTTGGGGTCAGCTTACCTGCTGAGCTGTTATAATGTGGCTGGCACATCGGGTGTGTTTCCTTTTTGAACCTTCACATCAATTCTATGAAAAAGATATGCATGATTTCCCC